GGTCCCTTCCAAGGCCTGCATGAGGCCTTCCTGATAGCACTGGAGAGGTCTCTTTCCCTTCTGGTTTCTCAAACATGATATACTTGTTATCTATTCTCTACCTAAATAGTGCAAAGATGGGATAGTCTCTGGTCTCAGGCTTATTTTCCCAGCCCAGTGGGAAAAATCTATAACCCAAAAAAGTGAAGAGGAAAAAAAAATCTCATGCTAGGAAGTCACAGAAGTCATATTGTTAGTTAAGAGCATACATTAAAGCTAACATTTTGTTTCACATCCTGACCTCAGTTTCTTTAGAAAGGCAGTAACTTAGAGGGTTATGGTAATAAGAGAATGCATGCAAAAAACTTCTAGTGTTTGCCCTCATAGCAAGCACTGAATATGAATGCATATTATTGAACTGAAGCTCATTCTGCCAGAGTTCACAATTCTCAAGCATTTGTAATGCATTAATACTGTGTCACCACACATCATACTCAATCCTCATGGGGACCTTTTAAGGGAGAACACTTTTCATTTTCAGCTAAGGGAAACCGAGGTTCCAGGAGGCTAGGTAACTTAGCCAAGGTCTCCAATACCTCAAAAGGCTGAGCCAGCATTCAAAATCTATTTAATTGTAGACTTCATGGCCTTCAAGCTACGTTTCTTCCCTTTTTTGTGTTATTTGAAGTCTGAGCCTCATTTTCCCCATCTGAGAAAACAAGTGGAAAATGACCAGCTCATGCGCCCGCAGGGAGGGTGGCCTGTGAAGGTGCACGTGTTCCTGTCTCCCTCTTCGGTCCAGGCGCCTGCCCTGCCCTCCCCTAATATCACGACTCTGCTCTCATGGCCCAATTTCCTCTTCCCCCTTAAGAGGAAGCTGGATGGAGGAGAGCTGCAGAGAAGGGCAGCCCCCAGCTCAGGGAGGGGATAATTTTAGCAGAGAATCCCTGGCAGAGGTAAGCAGGGGGGAAGGGAGGGGAGCTGTGAAATTCAACCTGATACTCATTCAAGGGCGGGGCGGGAAGGACATGCAATCCAGGTCAGAAACCTCGCTACTGCGCTGTAATTCCCAAACTAGCACCCCCACAAAGAAGCTCTCCCCTGCTGAAAATGGGTACTTTGCTTACTCCCACTGTTCCAGTAATTTCCTAGCCTCTCTGAAACTTTGTATCCCTTCCTCTCTTGAGGACGGCCCCTTTTCCCTTGGGATGCAGCCAACCAGGGTCAGCAGGCTTTTCATGCCCTTCCCTGTTGTTCAGCCAACTCCCGCCCTCCCCCTGGTGAGGTGCTTCAGCTCAACTCTTTTTGCTCTTTCCCCTCCATATCCCTCACCACTTCCCCCCAGGTCCCACTGATGCCTCCCACCACGAGGTTCCTGCGGAATCTCTCATCTCTCACTGGGCCCATATGCACTCGCACACTTGCCTTTCCAGGCACACACTTTAGATACACTGCGCCCCAAGGATTTTCAAACCTACAGAGCCCAGTGCTTAGATCTCCTTCATGCTGCCCTGAATTCTCTTAAAATCCGTGTCCGTGCTACAAAGCCTTAAATCCAACTTGGGGCCATGTAAATTCTATAATCGTGACCATCCTCCTATTCCAGTCCAATCTCTTTCTCCAGCTTTCATCCCATAATCTACATAATCCAGAAGCAACAATGCTTGCTAATGACTCTTTGGTCTCATCTGACAATAAGAAATCCCAGTGCCACTACATTTTGGGCAGTTGCCTGTGGCCAAGACAACTCAGATGGGCCCACATCTGCGTATGTAATAAAGATCATGCAGCAGAGTAACAAAGGTGCTCGGCTCTGTGTCCAGCTCGTAAGGTGGTGAGGAATGCTGTAAGGGGCTAAGGAAATGAGAATATGTGGGCTTTAGAAGATTATCTGTGGAAACAGAGATGTTGGCATACATCAGTAATAAATATGAGCGTTTATTTGGCACCTGAAAGCATATAAAATCCCGGCAGTGGGAAGTGGGAAGGTTCTATCACCCAAATACTTCCATATTTCGACCCAAGGGTAGAACTCCGCAACAAGTCTCCAAACCACCTGGCTCACCGAACAGGTATTTATTGAGCACCTGAACTACTACAGGCTGGGCACTGTGCCAGGTACCACAGGAGATAGAGGGCATCTGTCTTCAAGAGCCAACAGTATCAGTGAACAAAACACATGGAAAAATCTAGAGTATAAATACTAAACTTGTGTATATTTTAAAGGGAAATTTTGTCCCAAAACATTTATTGAAGACCTATCCTGTGCCAGGCACTGGGTACATACTGGAGAACAAAAGAGACAAGGTTTCCACCCTCAGGGAGCTTATGACCTAGTTGGGGAGACAGAAATGAAGTGAAGCAAGCAAACACATAATTATAAATTGTGCTAAGTGCAATGAGGGGATTAAACAGGATATAGTAATAAGGAAACATGGAAGATTATTTAGAGATAGAAAGGTCTTGGGAAGGTGGCATTTAGGCCACGACTTGAGAGGAGTGGAGCTCAGGAGACCCCAGAAGAGTGTCTGCGATGGTCCAGGGCAGGGAAAGAGCTCAGAATGTTTGAGAAACTGAGGAAGGGGCTGGGCTGTCACTTAGAGGGAAATCAGCATTTTGTGAGGTCCAAGCCGGGGGGGGGGGGGGGGGGGGGGGGGGGGGGGGTTGTTGGAGCCCTGCAGGCCAAGGTTAGGAGTTTGGACATTACTTGAGGTGTAACAGAAATTCGAGCAAGAGAGTGACCTGATCAGATTTATAAAGACCCCAAACGAAAATCTGCCATATAGAGATTAGATTGGAGGGGGCAAGAATGGAAGTACAAGAAGAGGCCTTGAAGAACAGGGAAGCTTCATATGGCACACATGATAAACAACGCATGTAACAACAGTCTCTCTAAAATGGAGACATATGGCAAGGGAAACAGGCCATATAAAATCAAAAGGGGATTTGATACTGAAACAGAAAGCAGGAACAAACTACTACATGACATCCTTGAGCAGCCAAATGATCCAATTAAGTAGTATTTTAGACAGATTTGGTGGCAGCCATGAAAGGAAGAGAGAAGAAAAGGGGAGAAACAGGAAGTAGGGAGATAACAACTAGGACGCTTTTTAAAAGGGACATTTCAGAGGAAGAAAAAGTTGATAAGGGGACAGGTTATGGAGTATGAGGAAGCATACCACTCTTATCTGCCTCTGCTAACATTCTCCGCGAGGCTCATTTCAGTAAAAAAGCTGAGAGAGAGAGAATAACCGATTAAAAGATCTTTGGAACCTCCCTGGGCAAAGATCAACGAGTTCTAGGTACAGGGCATCCAAGCTGTAGCCTCTGCCAAGAGGCTGGGTTCCTTGAGCCTCAAGGAGCCAACAGTGGAGAACACGGGCCTTCCACTGGGTGGCCCCATGGTGCCGCAAGGGGCGCACAGGTCACAACCACACACACAGTGGCACAGTGTGCGTTTAGTCCCACCTGCCCTCTTTTTTTTTATTTTTAAAAAAAATTTTTTTTTTTTCAACGTTTATTTATTTTTGGGACAGAGAGAGACAGAGCATGAACGGGGGAGGGGCAGAGAGAGAGGGAGACACAGAATCAGAAACAGGCTCCAGGCTCTGAGCCATCAGCCCAGAGCCTGACGCGGGGCCCGAACTCCCGGACCGCGAGATCGTGACCTGGCTGAAGTCGGACGCTTAACCGACTGCGCCACCCAGGCGCCCCTCCAACCTGCCCTCTTGAGGCTAAATGAAAAATGCCTCTGTTGAATCCAAACTCTCAGGCGGAGAGAAACGGGGTTGGGATATGAAAGAAAGACAAGACAGGAGATGGCCTCTGAAACATCTTAACTAATAAAAACAACTAATAAAAGCAATTACCAAAGTGCTGTCTGTAAAAGCCCTGAGGGCGGAAACCAAACACCAGCAGCGAGGCAACCCACGTGCCCTCTCCCCATCAAGACCCTGTGTTCACAACATCATCCGCCAGGCGCCTCTACAGTAGCCAGACACTCCCGGCAGCCAGGCCAGCCAGAGCCCGCTCTACATGAAGGGAGCTTCAGCAAGACCGCTGGCCTATGGTCCCTGGAGCTAGAAGACAGGGAGGAGCCGATGAGGGGCGTGGTGTGCCACAAGCCTGGGAGATTCCCAATCCCTGAGGGGGAACAGAAACCGTGCGTCCGAAGAGAAAAGGCCCGGTGGCCTCCGTGCCGACAAGGATGGCCTCACGTGGGAGGGTGTCCTGGGAACAGGTAGAGGTGCCGGCACAGGGTGCTACAGTACTCAGACATCTCCTTGCACCGGTGGAACTCTGTGCCGGGGGCATAGCCTTCACGCTCCTTGATAAGTGCGTTCACCTGGAAAGACAGGAACCAGTAGTCCAGAGTCCGAGAATCTGGGGTTTGCACAAGAGGAAGGGTAGGGAGGCTATGAAGGATGGTGCAAGGGAGGACGAGGAGGAAGGGGGAACACGGCGCAGAGGCTACTCACCGTAACAAGCATGTCGGCCACGTGCGTGTCACAAGCCCTCTCAGAGAACACTTGAGTGAGGGCCTCAATGTACCAGGAGCCCCGCTTGGTGTTCCGCATGGCAGCAGTGCCTGCAACCGGGATGGTATTAACCACACCGCGGAGGTCACGGGACACCTCACGCAGCTGGGTGTCCCAAAGTAGACTTCCGTGGTTACCTGTACCCTCCCCAGTCAGAGAGCCCAGCACGCGAAAGAGCACGTCTAAGAGGGTGCAGCCCCGGACTGTGGCTGGGGGCTCAGGATACCTCTGAGGCAGGCATAGCCGCAGATCATGTCCGAGCGCGTGGGCAGTCGGGTCTTCAGCAACTCCTTGCTGTCATCGCTCTCCTCGCACTCGGAGGACCCCGCGCGGTTCTTTCCGTCTTGCTGGTCAACCCCACGATCTGTTTCATCTGTAGCAACGGCAGACAGGACGGACAAACATGTTATTTCCTCCCATTGCTCTGGGGCCTGCCACAGGCAAGCCAAAGTTCCCTATGGCCTTGACTGGGAAGAGCCATTTCCAGCTGTTGCCTCCGACTTCTGGCTGCTGAAATTAAAAAACAAAACAACAAAACCATTACTCCCATCCCTGCCCCAGCACGCGTCCATTCCTCGGGGGAGCACCCAGAGGCCCGGCACCACGCTCAAGTATCTGCACATATGCAAGGTACAGGGTCTGAGCTCCATCCGTGCTGTGTAAATCACAGAGTGCTGATCAAATACTCCTTGTAAACAGAACTAAAAATCATATGCCCATGATTTACTTGTTCAATTAGCAATGCACCTGCCAGTCACAGTGCTTTTTATTGCAAAACACAAATACTGATAATGCAGCTTTGTATCAAAAAAACAAGTTAATAAATCAATATGATTACATGTAGGCTATGTAAAAACCATCTCAAATCTATGTTATGAAACTGAACATGCTCAGTTTCCAAGGTATTTTGGTATTTTTAATTTCATAAGCCAAATTGTAGCAGGTATCCAAGATCTGAGAGAAATTTATAAAAGGAAAAACTTAAAATTGCAGTAATTTGACTATTTTCTTCTAGATAATTGAAAAAGAACACCATTATTCAATTTTAGCAGTTCCTCAACATACCCTGAGTATATCCAACCTCCTGATGCAGGCCTCCTCTGTGCCCAGACATAGTCTTATTTGGATGTTGCACTTTTATTTTGGAGGAGGGTGGGGTGAGGTCAGTAGCAGAGACAGAGACCGAGGACACCCAGCTCAACACACTTAAGCTAAGAGAGTATGCTCCTTTCCAGTACTTTCTGTTCCATGCAACACTCAAGAGCCTAAAAGGCAAGTGAAGCTTGAAGAACTATGGTGAAATGACCAAAATTCACTGATCCCACAAACAGTTATCGAACAACTGCCATGTGCCAGGTACTGCTTTGCATTAAGCCCGAGGGATGTAGTGAAGGAGAGTCTCCTGCCCTTATGGAGCTCACATTCCACTTTGGGAGCCGGTCAACTGGGGAAGGGAGAGTAATTTCACAGCCATCAATTACACGAACTAAGTGCAGGAGAAGACAGGTGAGCTCAAATCTTCAAAGGTCATCTCTTGAAGGATTTACTCTGAGAGAGAAGGTTCGGATTACCCTAGGAAAGAGCAATTTCTCCCTATCCAGCTCTGATCCTGTACACAGATCTCTGAATATAGGAGGAGAAAATGATCACGAGTATCTTCATTTCACTTTGCCAGTAATACCTCCTAAAGGAAATAGGCCAAGCTAAATGTGTTCCCTCAAGAAAAAAGAAGCTTCTTTCCTCCCTTGGTGTCTCAGATCTATTAATCAATAAGTGTTATTGCTTCTTCCAATAACACAATATCCCATCTGTTTTCTGTATTATTGCTGTTTTTTTAAGGAGATTAATTTTCATCCCTTCATTCAATATTTATTAAGTACTACCATATATCAGGCAGTGCTCTGGGGCTGGGCATCCAGCTGAACAGACACTAAGTTCCTGTCCTCACATACTCTTTCCTCAGTGCAGTTCCCTAGCACGGTAATCGTCCTGGAAAAGAATTCATCACATTATTTAAGCTACCAACAGCTCCACACAATGATCTGCTGAAGTCCAAAATCTGTTTGACTAAAGATTTATCATCAGTGGCCTACCTTATCTTACTACACACCCACATAGATACCCAGTCTCTAAATCAGATCCGGGCAGACTTCCAGCCCAGCACAACATCTGGGGAAGAGTGGGGGCTGTCCTTTTTTAGTCCTGGTGTGCTTGTGGTCTTGTATTCCTGTTTCGTCTGGAAGCCCCTATTTACTACTCCACACCTATGCAGATTTTATCATTTTGGGTCCAAATTAAGCCTTACTAAATTAAGTCTCTACCAAATGTGTTCAAACTAAGCCAACTTAAAACGATCTATTCCCTACTGCTTACTCCTTCACACATATGGTTTGCATCTCACTAATTTCACCCTTGCTTGAGGCCTCTGAATTATTCTCAAGCTACTTCACATACATTTGCTTTCTCTTTCTAGTCATCGGTAGGCTATTTAGAGAGACACCACATTTTTTCTTCTTTTTTTTTTAAAGAGGAGCAGTTAGAGAGCCCACACATTTTCTTTTGCCTTTGTGACAGTGCCTAGTGTAGTCACGTTGTAGAACCTTAATAAAATTATCTCCTTTGGTGATATTATGACATTATTAACAGTATTAACCACTTACATCTGTTGAATACACAACAGATAAAAAAAATTATTTGTATGTTAGGACACAGTGACCTTTAAGCCAAACTATAAGCCCCTTGAGGCCACTAACCATGTAATAATGGTCATGGCTGGCATTTTCTGTGGATTTACTATGAGCCAGGTCCTGTGCTAAGTAAGCCCTTCAAGTGTATGATTCTATTCAATGATCACAACAACCTTACGAAGTAGGTCTGATCATTGTCTACATTTTGTATGCAGGAAACTAAGGTGGAGAGACATCAAGTAACTTCTCTAACTTGACAGAACTGGTCAGTGGTAAAGTCAAAATGTGACTCCAAAGTTAGAGTTGCCCTCCAGGATGAAGAGTATGCCCGCATGTCTTCGGAGCCTAGTCCTGGAGTCCTGGCTGCAGGCGAGAAAGAAGAGGGACAGAAGTGTCTCAGGGACAAGTAAGAGACAAAGCCCGACCTGGGGCTTCTGCACTGCAACCCTGCCCGGTACAAGGATGATGAAGAGGCAACGATGGAGCGCAGGTGAAAAGACGAGAGGGGAAGAGGGATGCAGGAAGGAAAAGAGGAAGTGAAAGAGAGACAGAAGAGACAGAAGTGCCTCAACTGCAGTGAGTAACAAAAGAAAGCGCAGCAGAGTTAATAGTGCAGAGGTGACAGAGTTCTCACGAAGGAAGGCAAGGCACTGAGAAAGAGTCTTGAGAAGAGGGTATGGTGGTGCACAGAGAGCTGACCAACCTGAGAGCCATGGGCTGCCCAAGTCCCAGCACACCCCATGCATCGGGAGACACTTACAGAGCAAGAGAGGCGGTGGCAGCAGTGAACAGAAGGAGGTGCCCAAGGGATCCGATAGCACCTGAGAGGAGCAAACAGGAAAGTGAGAGCTGGTGGGAGGCTGCCCAGGAGCCACCACCCGGGTGCTGGTCTGCCAGGGCACTCACCTCCACGGCAGGCCTGGATGAAGAACATTTTCGGCTTGTTCTGTAGGTTTGGGCAACTAGCGTTGTCAAAGAGCCGAAAAACCTCTTGAAGCTGCCAGAAAGGAAGGAAAAAGAAGGGAGGTTAAGTAGTCCGCAGGGCCTCCTGAGTCCTGTATTGGCCACAGCAGCCATTACAGGAGAGATGGCTAGGCAGGAGGGGAAGTCACCGAGCTTGGACAGCTGTTGGACACGAGATGACACACACCTGAAGCAGTTTGCCATCCACACCGTAGATGCCTCCCTCCACGCCATGAGAGAGGAGCGCCACTATGCAGGAGTCAGTGACACGGTGGGCAGGTAACTGGGCAAAATTCTGAAGTTTCTCTTGCATTTCCTGCAGGAAAAATACCTTTTGGTTAGTGTCGTTCACTGTAATCTGCGCCAATATCATCTTTCTTTGGTGTCTGAACCCCTGAGCTATTAGAAGACCTGATGCGTTCTGGGGCGCCTGGGTGGCGCAGTCGGTTAAGCGTCCGACTTCAGCCAGTCCGCGACCTCTGTGGTCCCAGTGAGTTTCAGCCCTGGGCGTCGGGCTCTGGGCTGATGGCTCCAGAGCCTGGAGCCCTGTTTCCGATATCTGTGCTCTGCTCTCTCTCTCTCTGCCCTTCCCCCGTTCATGCTCTGTCTCTCTCTGTCCCAAAAATAAAAATAAACGTTGAAAAAAAAGAAGACCTGATGCGTTCTATATATTATGTGGCTAACGATAACAGATGTCAGAGACCCTATGAGAGGCTAAAAAAAAGCTATGGACTCATCACAAAAATGCATGACTTCAGACACAGAATTCTGAATATAATTTCACAAAATTCAGACTCACTGAGATATGTTAAGAACTCCTGGATTAGGGGCGCCTGGGTGGCTCAGTCGGTTAAGCGTCCGACTTCGGCTCAGGGCATGATCTGCGGTCGGAGTTCCGAGCACCGCGCTAGGCTCTGTGTTGCTGACAGCTCAGAGCCTGGAGCTTTTGCATTCTTATGTCTCCCTCTCTCTGACCCTCCCCCGTTCATGCTCTGTCTCTCTCTGTCTCAAAAATAAATAAACATTAAAAAAAATTAAAAAAAAAAAAAAGAACTCCTGGACTAAAGCAAGTTACTAATGAAGCTAATCATGAGATAGTTAACTTTATCCACTCCCCAGTCATCAACCAAATCTTCTAGCAAATGCCCTTGTATAAAAATGACACAAGGAGGACCACCAGGTGACTTATGAGTGAATCAAATATTTACCCAGCCATAAGGAAATAAGCTGTTCTCACTAAGGGCTAACGGGATCATGACAATAGAGAATACTAGCACTTTTATGCTATTTTCTGTCTGAGATTTTAAGTTCCCAGAAACAATGATGATATCTGTACAAAATGCTCACTTCAGGGAAGAGTGTGCTGTAAATGTAATTAAGCACAGGGCCATGGCTACATACATGGGCTACAGGATCAGACAGACCTAGCTTTGATCCCTGAGTTCATAAATTAGAATCAATTATTTCGTCCCTCAAAGCTCTAATACTCATTTTGTAAGAGGGTAATTAAGAGTAAATTTTTTCCAAGTTTGTATAAAGATTACATGATATACTGCATAGAAAGGATTTAGAATTATGACTGGCACCTACTGCAGAGATCTGCCATTATTATAATGTGCATATCTTACAAAGAGTAGCGATGTCATTTTCTCAAAGAAACCTACTACTGGTCAACCTTGTAGTCCAACTTAAGAACCTTATTTGTCATGCACCAGGTTGCCACATGTGAGTATCACTCTACCTTAAACACTTGGCCCATCCAATGGCAAGCTATACAAAATAGTTTAATAATCCAATTTAAACTATTAAATCTAGGTCTCCCTCTACAACTAGAGAAGTCTGAATGGTCCCTCCTATTTGAGATGAGCAGGGAGAAAGCAAGTTCATTTTGACTATGAATTTTAATATCATGAAAACGAATACGCTATCTAGGCACATTAGTTACCATGTACAGCCCCCAATAAAAAGCACACTTGTATAATATATTTCTTAAAAGTTCTGGAAAGTTGTAAGAAAGGCAAAGTCTTGGGTCCTAGCAAACTCCAGGTGATTCTGACATGCTAAAGTTTGAGAACTACTAATCTATTTGTTCAGAATACTTCCGTTTGCAGATAATGGAGACAATTATACAAAAGCCTTGAAAGGCTGCAACTTAAACTGGATATGAAGAACTTGGCTTTATTGAAAAGTATGTTCATTTTCTGGGCAAAGAGAAGCCAATCATAATATTGCAAATCTTACGGTAATAAAAAGATATCCAAAATTCATTTATTTCTAGAATATATAATCTTAAGAGAATACATGAGTATGAATGTTCTTCTTGAGTTGACCATAATAGAATTGTAACATAGAGTAGTTGAAGTTCATCTTGCTGGAAGAAGGCTGTAAAAATGTATGTTTGGCACCTACTTAAGAGCATTTTGAACTTAAGTGAGACTATTAGGTCAGTAAATAGTGGACAACAGAGCCCAAAGTAAAAACACACACACTTAGTAATTGAATTTAATAGTACTAAATGGATAAATGGGGGTTATATCATTTGGGTAAAATTTTCTGAAAGCAGCAAAGCTTAAAATAGGATCTCTAGATTTATTCCTGATAAAATTACAGTACTTCTAAAAATAGCAGAGTTCTTAACCAGAGGTTGGGGGACACAAGAGAATAACCTATAAACCCCCTGAAATGATACGCAAAACTTTACGGCTAGCTGCATTTTCCAGGAATGAGCCATAGCATGTCCTTACATTTTCAAAGCAGTCTGTGACCCAAATGTAAGTTAAAAATCAATACCACATGGCGGGGGGGTGGGGTGGGGGTGCCTGGGTGGCTCAGCCGGTTGAGCGTCTGACTTCGGCTCAGGTCATGATCTCACAGTTCGTGAGTTCGAGCCCTGTGTTGGGCTCTGTGCTGACAGCTCAGAGCCTGAAGTCTGCTTCAGATTCTGTGTCTCCCTCTCTCTCTGCCCCATACCCACTCATGCTCTGTCTCTGTCTTAAAAATAAATAAAACGCTACAAAAAATTTTTAAAAAATAAATACCACGTGGTAAAAGGAAATCTGCCACTTTAAAATGTATCTCATTTCCTTGGGGTGCCTGGGTGGCTCAGTCGGTTGAGCGACCGACTTTGGCTCAGGTCATGATCTCACAGTTTGTGAGTTCGAGCCCCGCGTCAGACTCTGTGCTGA